TGGTTAAATCAAAAGATAATTCTTTCGTTCCAAAAACAAATCCTAGAGTTATACTCCAAGATTTTAACTTGAGTGACATAGTCTTTAGAAAGTTCGTAACACTTGTCAAATGTAGAGTAATATGTTTCCTATTCTTGTACATTTGAGATTGGTAAGTTCTGATGTTTTGGATAAAACAAAGACCAACTAAGACCAATAGTGAGAAGTGTTTAACTTGATAACAATCTGCACTAGCTCTTGAATATTTGTATTGTCAAGGAATTATTCTTGACAAAGAGAAGTCTTATATGTCAAGAGGATAGTGGGAGTCTAAAAGATTCTGAAATAGTTTCAAGAACTAATCAAGAGTTTTGTTAATCACTAGCCCATGACTTGAGGTTTGTAACCTATCATGTTGACATATTCTGTGCTCATCCCAGTTAAGGTTGGCTTTGCATTGGAGTTCTGAGAGTTCTCGACTGTTTGCATAACAACCTGGAAGCAATGGTAGGCCCTTGTGCTGCCGGGTGGCAAGAAATTAAGATTGGACAAGTTCAATCCATATGATTTTGGAAGTGTCACTAACCTAGTCTTGTGATTATGGTTTTGACAAAATTCACATGGAAAAGAACACATACACCATAAAATCTAAGTGTCATAAGGTTTCTTTTCGATTCATGAAAATGATGTTAAGGAAACGCTTCCACTAAGAAGATTTTAAGTAGATAGCGGTTGTTGTATTTGCATTCTCATATAGTTAGTGGAGTGTGTGTGGTTAACCGGCACACTAACTAGTGAGAATTGCGAAATGTCTAGACAAACATCTGAGCTATCTAAGGAAAGGTGTATATTTTTGATAAAGTCTTATCAAAGCAGTCTAGTATCAGAAATATGAACTTTGGTTAGAAAGTCAATAAAGTATTGATTTTTAGAAGTCCAATTGATTTCTGAGTACATGTCAAAGCTAGTGGGAGCATAAACTGTTATGCTGGTAATCATTATGCTAGTGGGAGCATAAAGTGTTATGCTGGTAATCATTATGCTAGTGGGAGCATGATGATTATGTTAAATATTGCAAGTTAGCAATGTTAATTATAGAAAATAAAAGTTTCAATTTGCTTTGAAAAGTTATTTTGCTTTAATTAAGGGAGAGGATTTTATACTTCACTCCAATTCTACAAGCTTAGATTGATATTTTAATCTACTTTAGTCAAGAATATATATATGAATGCTATGTTGGAATGGTTCCACATAGGGAAATTCTATATATGTTGCATTCGCAAAATTCGATTATGATTACGGCATACCTCTTCATAGTTCGAATTGTGAGAACATGGCAAATAAAAGTTTTATAGAATTAATCGTGTCCCATATGCTTCGGATATAGGATCGATTGAATGTGCTATAATATTCATCCATTCTAAATTTTCCAAATGCCTAGGGCATTAAGATGGAAAAAGGAATAGAACTGGAAATGACTAAAATGATTAAGCAAATTGTCGAGGACAATCTGAGGTTTACCATAGATTGGTTGCTTATGGACAATTAGAAGTATAGAGTAAGGACCATATTGACATATTTTGAAAAGTGTCAACTCTTGTTTAGAAGTGATGGTCAAAATGGTAATATGGAATTGTCTCCATTGGTGGAAGTTATTCTTTGAATCTGTATAAGATTAAAGAACTTAATGCTAACAAGGATGTTCAAAGGAATGTACTTTGAATTTGAGACTTCGTTTCCATGGAATTGTTTTCCATTGGAATACTTTGTAATTCATGTTGCCAAGTCTTTGTAAATTCTGTGCATAGTCGTTACAAGGGGATCATTGCATATAAGTTTAGAATCTAACAGATTGCAGTAAATGGCTAGAGTTTGGTATTTTTGCATTTACAACAAGGATTGGAATTGTGAAATGAGCATCATTGGAATATTGTCAATTGATCTATTTCACAAAGAGAGGACCATATGTAAACATAGTATGCATACTTGGAGGATGGCATAATTGTTGTTTGGAAAACCATAGTGTACATGCTTGGAGCATGGGACAACTAATGTTGTAATTCAAGCATAAAGTTGATTAGTCGAAACATAAATAATGAGTAATCAGTATGGTGCTTAAATAAAAGGTGTTTTATTTACACTCAAAGTGTTGGGGCCATATAAGATTAGTATTATTCTTGTGTTTCACTTTTCATGATTTAACTTCCAGAATAATTATGTTATGGTATATATATCATATTAGTTAAACCATCCACTGTCAGTCATATGTTGGAAGTAGATATGAATCAAGACTATCATGAATTTGGCTTGTATGATTTGTCTAAAGTGCTTTAGACAATGCAATGGTTACTACAACATTCATGAGTACTTATAAGGGCTAAGTATTGGATTCAACCCACGCTCACTTGCATCACTTCATGGAATTTATCTCGAGTGATCGTGAGACAGTAATATCATATAAATCTTCAAACCTAGAGATATGAGTTGTTGACTATGAGTTGGTTATTCATTGATTTTACGAAAATGCATTGGTCAGTCGATGTTATAAAACGTGCCTTTGTGGATAATTCAACAAGTAGTTAGTACAAGTATATCAGTCGAAGTTTATCTGTTCCTTCTAGAAATAGAAGCGATATTTAGGCCCCTCGATGATTTGGTTTTGACCTATGTACCGGGCCCGGTCAGAACCTAATTGATGTGTTCAATTAAGTTCTATGTCGAAACAAATCAGAGATCGAGAAACAAATGATGGACAATAAGTAAGACCATGTTCCATTTGTTTGTCCTGCTGATATCATGAGAGCAGAGGATTATATGATCACTTATCTTAAATGGCGTATCATCATCATCTCAGTTCCGAGAGACTTTGAAAGAGCTACGATTGTTGGTCCGGTTTTGAAGTCATATTTGCAAATATAGTTATTAGACTTATCCAATTGGGAGACTGTTGGATATAGTGTCTAAGTCCATAACTTTATTTGGTATGAACTTGACCCGACCCGGCATGGTCCATTTGGGTTGCATGGCATTGCAATACTTGGATAGACTAAATGAGAGAATAAGGCACTTATGATTATTAATATATTATAAGTTCTAATATATTAATAATAGTATTATTTAATTAGTATTTGATCAAGTATTAATCTAGTATTAATTTGGTGATCAAAGTGAGTCTAATTAAATATATAAGGGTTGATTATGACAATCAGCAATTCTTTTATGGTGGATTAATGATTCATGGTTTATGGGTTATGGATGTAACCATTTGGAGCTCCATGGATAGTCCATGGGAGTTACAAACCCATGGGTCATGAGAAATGAAGAGTCATGACAATTATGGGTCTTCATGATGAAACCCTAATTATGACACCACTATAAAAGGGACCCTTTGGCTAGCAATATCGTGCACTAGTGTTACTAGAGAGGGCATAACCGATTTTTTAGTGTAAGCAATACTCTCTCAAGTTATTCCAAGTTTTGTGTTTTTGTGTGAAGCATTTGAGGCACAACATTTGGGGTGCTAGGCTCACAAAGTCTTGAAGGAATCCAAGCAACAACATGGTATGCATTTCTACTAGTTCATTATGTTTTATGTAATCCCCATGCCATGCTAGTTAGGAAATAACCTTGAAAAAGAAATTTGCATGTATATAGAGAAAACATAGATTCAAGGTTATTAGGGTTTCATGCACACTTAGGAAGTGTTAGAATGCTCAAACCCCAACAATATATATATATATATATATATATATATATATATATATATATATATATATATATATATATATATATATCGGATTTTATTATTCAAAAACAACTTTTGTAATTATCCAAACACAAAATTAGTCAAAAATCCAAGTTTTGAGCCATTTGATCCATAGACTCGTCGAGCATCCTACTACATTCGTCGAATCTGTTAGATAGACCGGGCTCACATCGTGAACTCAATGAGTAATGTCTTCAGTTGGATATTTTCAGAAAAAAATTCATATCAAGCAATGAACGAACATATTAGCATCAAATAAACTTGAAAACAACCTAGCTCTAATACCACTGATGGGTTTGAGCCAAAGGAACATCCTATGTGCTCATACAAACCCTAATGCTTGGATCTAGGTTTCTCTAATTGTACATGCATCCTACCAACACTTTCTAACCCTAGGTCAAATGAGAATAATTCAAAAGTATAAGAAACAAATCAGATCTAGATCATTACCTCTTGTTGCTTGCTTGAATCTTCTTGTCTTTGAAGCTTAGAGTCACAAGTGTCACTCCTCTAATGGCTTACAAAAACCAATAGCAAAAGAATGATCTTGGAGGGAGGTTAGGGGCTTCTTGAATTCGGTTCTATCACTCTTAGGGTTAGGGTAGCCGATTTCTGTAGCCTAGGGGTCCTATTGATACTGGAGCTGTTAGAGTTTTAGTCAAAAACCCTAATAGACAGCTTAGGCCTTAATCTATCCAAGGAAGCTTCTCGAATAGGGCCTTAGGGATGAAATTAGGTATGAACACATCCTAATTCTGTCCATGCCTAGTCCAAGAGGCTCCTTAGCCCGATACTCAACTATCACACATTTGACAATTTAAGTCCCTGATATTAAATTAATATCTTTTAACCACAAAATTAATTTCTTAACTAATTATTGTCTAATATTAATCTAATTATATGATTTCTCCATTAAATATTATTCATATAACATATTATTAAATCATAAGAACCTCTTTCTTAATAAATCATCCTATCATGTTGCTTCAGTGAAGGCAACCCAAAAGGACCATGCACAACCGGGTCAAGTACTTACCAAATACAGTTACGGGCTTAGACACTAATCCAACACAAGGATCCACCGATTGTTATTATCGAACGAATTACTCATAAAGGAGTCGTTTTTCATGAAATTCCAACACATGTTTCTCCTCAATCAAAGAATGGTGTGCTAAAGACATTGCCAAGTATATTTTGAAGAAACAAAAGAAGTACAAGAAGCAAAGGAAGTTAGTATAGGATCAACAATCAACTGATGAAGAAGTGGTGCCTCAAAACGCCTGTTATCGAGCCAAACATTCCTTCTTCACCAGTGAGGGGTTCTCCAGTTCAATCAATTTTCGAGGAGACTGAAAATCTTGATGGCAATGTGGAAACTTCGATAGTGGACACAACCATCAATCATGGTGAACAAACTAAACATTCAACTCTTGAGAATACATCGGTCATAAAGCCTGGAGTTTCGCTTATGGAATCATTTCATGAGGACGTACGAACTTCAAACATCACTACACACGTACCTGATACGGAATTATATCTACCGAAGCTTAAGGTACTACTTTCGTTGTATCTTCATCAATCCCTACTTCTAACCTTGACACAATTATTTCATTACCACCGTTCATTATTCCCAATACATCTCAAACCCTTTCGGTTTCTCATTCTCCTAAATTTGACACCATTCTTTACCAACCTATCACCTCTTTATTTCTATCTCAATCCCTGGAGGAACCACAACTAGTTAATCATGATGGCATGTATGATGGTGGTTTTATGGGTTTGTTCGCTAAAATACAATTCAACTCTGCAAAAGAAAACATTCCTGATCACATGTTGATGTCAGGAAAGCAGTTTAATATTCTGAACCGGAAATTGAACTCTCTTCTTCAAATGTAAGTTGATAGTGGTGGAAATAATTTGATATCTGTTCTGGATATGGATGTTATGTTGCAAGGCCAAGAGTATTGAATTTTGGATAAGCTTCATCATATGGAAGAGTCTGCTGATTTACGAATAAAATCTCAACTTGAAACTTTTAATGGTGCCATACGTGACTTGAAAGAAACTGCTAAGTCTCATCATATTCTCTTTGTTCAAGACGTGAAGACAGTTCGTGAGGATGTAAATCTAAATGTTCAAACGTTGAGATAAGACATGACTATGAAGATAGCTTCTTTAGATCACAATTATTCTACTTTTCACATAAAGGTAGATATAATTATTGATGTTGTGACCATAGCCATTGATTTTTATTCTTCTTTCGGGGTGAAGTTTGATTCAAAATCAGAGGTGGATGCCAAGAGTTTTGGGAATGTTGAAAATATTTTGAAAGAATTAAAGGATCTGGTGTCTGTTATTTCTCGTGAAGCATCCATTGAAAAACTTCGCATGCTAAAGTCAACCATTCAAAAAGAATTGGCTCCACTTGTGAAATTCATAAATTTTGTGCCAACAAATTCCCCGCCTGTGAGCACAAGGTTGCAAGGGGGAGAAAGATGAAGTGTTGGCAGTGGGAGTGGACACAGAGGCGGATGGGGTTCAAGGAATGTTGTAAGTGATGCAAGAGCTTTTGGCAGAGTCTTGACTACTCAGATTCCCACTTCTCTTCTAAGAATTTCGATTGTATCTACATCAACAATAACAACAACAAGGCCGGTAGCAAAGGGAATTGTTATTGGATCTGCTGGAGGAGATTCTAGTTCAACAAAGCCAAATCCAATTGAACAAGAGAAAGATAACGGTAAAAGCATAAGTCATGAATTGTTGAAGGAGGAAAGAAAAGCTGCTCTGGAAGATGAAATGCAGAAGTAGAGACAAGTCCAGACTATACTTTGACAACATGCAAATGATCCTTCTAGTCTAGACAAAGGTAATCCAACGAAGCTTTATCATTATGAATATCTTAAATCAATAACTATATCTGGGGATACAATTAACTTATCAATGAATCAATTAGACTTCCCTATGAATAGAATTATGTTTCTGGAAGAACAATTTGAAGTTGCAGATAAATATAAGAATAAGACTGAGTACAGACACATGAAATTTCGTTTTCATGTTGTGTTGCGGAAGAAAGAGGAGGAGGTATTTTTGTTAGTTAAGATAACAAGAGTACTTGGGATTACAAAGGACATTTTGTTCGAAGGCATGTTACAAAACTACAGGTGACAAGCAAATGATGTTGATGATGAGGTATTTTTGTTACTTCTGATTTTTCTATTTCCGATTTCCTGCTAATGAATATGCATGATCTTTTGGTGGTGGTGTTAATCATGAAGAGTGTGGATGTTTCGAAGCTTCAAGTGACAAGAAAGGAAGATTTTTTGAATGGATTTGGTCACTCAAAATTTTTCATCGAAGGGTATTATGGTTTGTTAGCTTTAACTGATGTTGAGTTAGATAAAGTTTTGTTAAAAGAAGTTGAGATTCCACAAATGATGTTGATGATGAAGGAAAACATAAATGAGCTTGAAGATGGGGAGATTAACTTGAAACCTCTAGGAATTGCTTTTTTTGGGTAAAATAAAAAGGGCAACAATTCCAAATTCCTATTTCTAGTGTGTGATGTAGAAAGATACACAACATCTCATTACACTAACCTTTTGGTGCGAATAAATAGCTGCAACAAAAACAACGACAAAGAGAAGGCAGGAATTCACAATATAGTAAACTAGTATGTTGAGATCAAAAGGATTATTCATCAAGCTACAAAAGTGTTACTGAATTGATTCGTTACTGTTCACAAAGGGGGAGAATGTTAATGTCGAACTTAGTTGTGAGGTATCGAATTTCAGTGTATAGTTTCGTTAGTTTGTAATGTTATTACAAGGGCACTTATGTTTCGAAGTATAGTGTTCTAGTCCCTTGTATTTTTTTTTGTATGCTTTTGTTTTCCTATAAATATGGATCAATATTAGAGTTAGGTAGAACTTTTGCAACCTTTCTGTCTAAGACCACTTTGTATCATGAATGCATAATATGAGCTGAAAACATATTCTATTTACTCTTTGTGTTCTTGATTTGTTTCTACTCTGATTACATTTCATTTTTGGATTAAATAACTTCTACACTTTCCTAGACAACATAAGTCTCATAGTGGACATAAGAGAATCCAAACTTACCTTTTGGGTGGTAGAAGATTCAATTACTTTTGGAGTTGATCGAGTCATGAAGCACTCTAAGTTTAGTGATGACATGGCCTTTTCAGTGGACATTTTGAAGAATTGATGGAAGAATGGTTAGAAGACAAGTCAACCGAATCTACCATTGCCTTTGAAGATGACTTTGATACTGAAAGAGACCTAAAGGAGATAGAAATATTACTCGAAGAAAGTGAATATGAAGAATTAATAAGAAGTTCTAAAAAGTCAACTGAGCGAGTTGATGAGACAAAATCGATGAGTTCGGCCAAAAAATTGTGATCAGGCGGGAAAACTGGGCACAACTTGACGAGTTCGGTTTCTAGACTCAACGTGTTCAATGTTCAAAACGCGAAATTAGAGCTAAAACTTTGTCGGAACACTTAGAGTATGCATTTTTGGAAGGGGTAATAAAAAAACTATGATTATAGCTTCTGACCTCACGAAATCTGAAAAAAGAAGAATCGGTTCAAGTTTTTGATAAAAGAAAAAATACAATTGCATGGAAAATTATTGATATTAAAGGAATAAGTTGTCACACCCCCAAACCGCAACGGCGGAAACGTTCGGGGGCGGATGACTTCTTCAAAAAATGAATACATAGTAAAGAAAGCAATACAACCATCATATATATCATTGAAAGTTTACATTGTTAAAAGAGTACATGTTCAAAACCAATTACCATATGATGCCAAAAATATGAATTTAAACTGGCGCCGCAGCGTTCCTTCTTAAAAAAAAAGCTGTTTGGTACCTGCAATTACTGAGTCCCTAGGACATACAAGTAGTTTTGAAAGAGTAGATCAGCATTTAAGCTGGTGAGTTTCATAAGTATTAAATGATAGTATTTGTATGAACTAAAATGAAATGGTTTGCTTTTGTTTGTTAGTTTTTATAAAATCCCATACTTGCTACTGGTATAAATGTAGCCTTAAATCAAGACCAATGTTTTTTAGAAAGTTGATGTTTTCCCATCTGTGAGTAGTGGTTTAGAAGTTCCAAACTTGTATCCCAATTAGGTTTTTCATGCCTAAAGTAGTTAATTTATGTACGTATAAAACCTCCAATACGTCTGAAAAACCACGTAAATCAATGTGTTTTAAATACTCTATGTGAGTTTTATAAACATGCTATTGACTAGAAATGCCTATACACGACTTTCTTCAAGCGTTGGAATGTTCTGACGTCTGTCACCCTAAATGGTGTACTGTAGCTAACAATCAGGGTGTGGGGTTTTCAATCCCATATAGATCTATACACAAACACCATGCTCCCCCTCCAAGGGATTCTGGTATATAATACAGGACTTGAAATGTGTACTAGAGCGTAGATGAAGTTTAATGTCTCACAAAACTTAGTACAACATAGCTTTACGTGTGAAAATGTTCTTTGGTTCTTGTATATATGAAAGTAAATTCTTGAAATAGTATTTCCAATATGTAAAAGTTCGTAGTGTTCTCGTAAAACTATACCTATTATAGTTTTCTAAAAGTGCGACTCGTTTGTATAGTAATCCCTAGTGAATTACTCACTTGTAATAACTGAACACATATACCTGTAGGATAAACAGAGTGTTTGATTTACATAAATACATAAATCATTTCTTATTTCAAAAGATAAGATGTTATCGTGGTATAATTTGCATACGAATGTTTCCGTATAATAGTTATAAATCACATATCTTTTTATTGATAAAAAGCGTATAATGAAACTTTATATAACACACGATAATAAATGACTATTTTACTTGTATTCCCCCCCCCCCCTTTAAAGGATATAGAAGTCTTTATAAAACATTTAAAAGTTTGGATTGTAGGGGTATGAACACACTTGAAAGATCGAAGAAGGCGAGATGAAAACCGAGTAGAATTTCGACTCGAGAAAGTGGATTTTCTCGGGATTCTTGGGAATCTCGGGAGCACAAACGACCTTCGGGACTTGAGAAAGGTAACCGGGACTTCGGGATAGCATGTGCACGGAAAACAAGGCAAAAACACACGGAAGAGGAGAGGAATTGGCCGTTTTCTTCGGAACCCTCGCATCCCTTTTATAGGGGGTGGGAACCGCCTCGGTACGCTGGGCGTAAGCGAGTGCTGGGCGTACTCGTGCGTCATGCGTGACCGCATCCTCGACTGCTTCAGATTTCGGATGGGACGGGGAATAGCCTCGCATAGGGGTGACGTGGACGATCTGAGGCCTAGGCCTCGAGTACGCTGGGTGTACGCGTGTACGCTGGGCGTACTCGGCCCGTGTCTCAGCCTTTGGATAATACCGAAATTAAATATAAAAATTATATTTTTATTATTTAATAAACTTCAAAAATTCATATCTTCTTCATACGAACTTCATTTTCGACGTTCTTTATATCCACGCGTAGGTGAGACTATACTCTACAACTTTCTTTTAGATTCCTTCGGCAAATTTTGAAATTATTTTTATTATTTATTTTTAAAAGTTCGCGGTAAGAAAATTTCGTTAGAAATTCATAACTTTATTATCTGACGTCTGTTTTTGCTAGACTTTTTACCGTAGAAAAACCATTGTCGAGACCTTCGATTCTCATTTAGGTTATTCCGGTTAAAAGTCGCTCGATCTATGTTTCGAGTTTTTAGCTGTCTGTTGCTAAGACGAACATGAAAAATTCATAACTTTCTTATACGAAGTCAGATTTGGACATTCTTTTTACGTACGATCATCGTTTAATGATATCTAACATAATAGGTAATTTAATTAGTGATTTTTAAATATTTTATTTTCGAAGTTAATTTCATTATAAAAAACGTGGTTACAATACATGACTTTTTAGGTCGTTAGATAGAGTTGAAATATCGGGTTGTCACATCATCCCCCTATTAGAGGGAATTTCGTCCCGAAATTTTAAAGTAAGAAAGATACATGCGAATCAGAAAAAAAGATGTGGGTACTTTTGTTTCAACTGATCCTCGCGTTCCAATGTGAATTTAGGTCCTCGCTTCGCGTTCCAACGGACTTTCACGATGGATATGCGACTTTGTTTCGCTTGTTTGACCTCTCGATCCATGATTTCTACTGGTTCTTCCATGAAGTTGAGGCTCTCGTTGATCTCGATATCTTCGAGTGGGATAACAAGAGTCTCATCGGACAGACACTTTTTCAAGTTCGATACATGGAAGGTTGGATGTATGTTACTAAGTTCACGTGGTAGATTAAGTTTGTAAGCCACAGGGCTGATTCTGGCGAGAATCTCGAAAGGCTCTATGTATCTTGGATTTAGCTTTCCACGCTTTCCAAAGCGTATTAAGCCTTTCCACGGTGAGACTTTCAATAGAACACGGTATCCTACTTGGAATTCCAAATGTTTCCTCTGTTGGTCAGCGTAGCTTTTCTGTCGTTCTCTAAATGCTTTCAACCGTTCACGAATCTGAAGGATCTTCTCTTTCGTTTCTCGTATGATTTCCGGACCGGTGAGAGTGTTTTTAGTATCTCGTCCTTTAGCTAACTGTGTGTCGCCAAGTTCAGTCCAACACAGAGGGGACCTGCACTTACGGCCATAGAGGGCTTCAAATGGAGTAGCCTTTATGCTCGTATGATAACTATTGTTGTATGAAAATTCGACAAGGGGTAAATGGATATCCCATGCCTTTCCAAAGTCAATCACACAGGCTCTCAACATTTCTTCCAAAGTTTGTATCG